CCAGACGGTCCTCATAGTCAGGATCCTTCCTTCCTCTACCTTTCCCGTGCTGAGATTACACATCTGTGTCACCAGACCTCACTTATTTAGAAATGGCATCTTCATCAGAGGCTGTACTTGGCTTCTTGTCCATTGACACCTAGAATGAATTACTACAGCTTTAATGTTTAGAAATTTATCACACCAGTATGTTTTCAGAGTCTCCTGCTTTCTCACAAGCTTCTAAAAATTTTTACATTACTAAGGAGAATTTCATTTGGATTTTCGTTTTAAAAGTGTATTAAATACATAAATATCAGAAAATTATCAGATTTATAATACATCTAAGTATTACCTCTCTTGCCTTCTGTTTGTCTTTGCTATTTTTTTTTTTATTAGAGCAACATTGCCTTGTCAGGTTTCACATAGAACTGTTGTTTCAATCAAACCTTCTTTACTTTAAATGTTGGTTTTAAAGAATTTTGTGTCTGAATGTTTTGCCTGAGGTATTTCTGGACTTCGTGTGCATGCCTGGTGCCTATCCATGGTGGCCAGAAGATGGCATAAGATCAGATTCCCTGATACTGGAGTTACAGATAGTTGTGAGCCACTATGCAGATGTTAGGAACCAAACCTGGTTCCTCCGTAAGGACAGCAAGTGCTCTCAGCCACTGAGCCATTTCTCCATACTCTGGAATGGGGGTTTTTTAGAAACATATTTTGATTGGCAGTTCTCAGATTCTTAGTTTTACTTAGAATTCATCCATCTTACTACATTCTGTCACTCGTTCTCTCTTAGATTTTTTTTTCTCTAGAATATTTAGGTAGGAAACACTTGCATCTGTCAGTTGTGTGTCTTTGTTTCTTCCTGCCCAGTGCTTTTGCTTCTTATTTCTTTTTCTGGATTGCCAGTAAACTAAGACCTTCAGAGCGGTACTGGATATCACGGATGCCAGAGATTTCTACCATCATTGAAGAGGTAGTCCTGCTTGGGGAAGATTTTCAGGTCTCTTTCCCTTTCTTGAACCCAGACTAAGTGTCCTTTTCCCATGACAGCCCTGAGTCCAATGTTGCATCGTCACATGGACTGCTCTTGCTGAGAAGATTGAGTCCCTCTGCAGTTTGTGGGTGCTTAAAGGATGAATGGTCTTTGCTCCACTGTTGGAGACCAGCCAGCCTGTCCTTCACTCATAATAGTAACTCAGTTAGCCATGTTCTCTATGCGTCAATAGTGCTAGAAAATTCTTATAACTTAACTGAGTCTGTCAGTTCCTCTCTTGTATCTCTTTCAATGCCATGGTTCTTTGTTCAAGATTCAATTTTCTTTAGCCTATAACAGTTTTCTCTAACGTAAACAACATACAAGTCCTGTTTAAATGAGACAATTTTACAAACAATGTCAGATTTTTATGATTTTGCTGAACTTGCCTAAACATGAAATGATCCTTTGGGGTTCCTGCTAGACATTCTGCAGGACACAGAAAAAAGTAACTGACAAACTGCCAGTATAAGTGGAACTGTCTTGGAAATTCTTACTTCATGAAAAAGTCTGCTGGATAATATGGGCTTGTGGGCTGAAGAATGGATGCCCCAATGGTACAGAAGAACTTTGGGTGACTGTCCAGGTAGCATGATGTCTCTGTAAATTCTAGAATTTTGGAAGTTGCTTACAATGCACTTCCTGTTTGTTTAGGTAATATTATATCCTTCTGAAGTCTTTGATGGAGTTGCAGAATAGATAGAAAGTAGATATAGTTTTCCTTAGTGTGATAAAGTAGATATAAATATTGTAACTATGATTCTTACTTGCTACCTGTTTTGTTATATGTAATTTTATCCCATTAAAATTAAAACCTCCTTTTTTATTTAAGCAGATAAAAGGAGCTGATGTGGGATTCCCCTCTGTATGCTGTGATTACCATTAATGAATAAATAAACTGCTTTGGACCTATAACAGGGCAGAACTTAGTTAGGCAGGGAAAACTAAACTGAATGCTGGGAGAAAGAAGGGTAAAGTAAGGAGAAGCCATGTAGCCATGCTGGAGACAAAGGTTGAAACCTTGCCAGTAGGTCATGAACCTCATGGTAAAATATAAAACACTGGAAATAGGTTAATACCAGATGTAAGAGCTAGCTAACAATATACTTATGTGTTTGACTAAGCAGTGATTTAAATAATATAGTTTCTGTGTGATTATTTTGGGACTGAGCAGTTGGGAATAAACAAGCAACTCTCCTTACTACACATAGCCATGTCTGTATCAGTTTGATCTGTTTAATAACTCAGTTTTCTTTATTTTATGCTAGTATACTACTCAGCATTTCTTTTGTAAAATGTGAAATGTCAAAAAAGAAAAATCCTTAGAAGTGATTTATTTAAGTAATAAGGTAGGTCATTTTTCCTATAACAAAATCATACTGTAAGGAATTCATTTCTGTATTCTGCTTAGAATACAGAAAGAAGAGAGGAGGCCATGTTTACAACTCACATGATGAGACAACACTCAGGATTTAACATGTGCGTGCCTCTGTATATGTGTGCGTGTCTGTGTGCTTCTGTATGTAAAGGCACATTCACATCACTCTACGGAAAACTATATCTACTTTCTATCTATTCTGCAACTCCATCAAAGACTCCAGAAGGGCAGGTGTGTGTAAAGGTCAGAGACTGACCTTGAGATGTCTGCCTTGATTGTTCTCCATGTTTGCTGCTTGAGAACAGGTCTTTCACTTTGGCTCACCATTTTGTTTGGACTCCACTGAGCCCCAGGAATTCTCCTGTCTCTGTCCCCCAATGCTGAGGTTATAGGTGCATGCCGCCACACACGGCTTTGTACTTGAGTACTGGGGTCAGAAGTTAATTTGTCATGCTTGCACAACAAACTTGATCACTGAACCATCTCCCCAGCCCTGAGAGTCAGATTTTCTGACTGAATAATGCTTTAGCCAATTTTGTAGCAAAAATTCATAAATCTCTGTGTTTAATAAGAAAAAATTTTTTCAGGATTGGATTTTTCAGGATGAACTTTTAATTTTTTATTTATTTATTATTTTTTTCTTTTTTTAGTTTTTTTTCTCAAAGTTTATTAAAATACAAAAGTCTCCATTTCCGCCCCTCCTCCCAACCCCCTCCCACTCCCCCCCACTTCTTCCCCTCCTCCCTCTCCATCCCCAAGAGCAGTCAGGGTCTCCCGCCCTGTGGGTAGTTCAAGCTCCTCCCCCCTCCTTTCAGGTCCAGGAAGGTGAGCATCCAAACAGACTGGATCCCAGAAATCCAGTGTATGCAGAGGAAACAAGTCCCAGTGTCACTGTCAATGGCTTTTCAGAAAGACTCCGGGCCAGCCACATTCAGAGAATCTGGCTGGATCACGTGCTCGCTCAGTCCCAGTCAACTGACCTTGGTGAACACTCATTAGATCAGTCCCCTTGTATCAGTGGGTGATCGCACCCCTTGCGGTCCTGATTTCCTTTTTCATGTTCTTCCTCCTTCTGCTTCTCATTTGGACCTTGGGGGACTCCGTCCGGTGCTCCAATGTGGGTCTCCGTCTCCATCTCCATCCATCGCCAGATTAAAACATAATTCTTCATTGATTCCTTGGGAATTTCACATCATGAACCCCAATCCCACTCAGCTCTCAGTCCCTTGATACTCTTCTCTTACCCCTGAAGCATCACTCCCCAAAGAACCCCCCAAAATCAATTAAAAACAAAATAAAACACACAAAAACCCCCACCTCCTTTCTCCATCTTTCAAACACCTCTTTCATTCATCCTAGTGGCACTGGGAGTTACAGAGTGTCAACCTTTTTGTCCATTCAGCCCCACCCACAAAATGTTCATTGCAATGAGTCATTGGTCTTGTTCAAGTTCTCTGGCACACCAGCATCACTGGGCCCTCACTGAAATTCCTCTCAGATATCCTGCACTGGCCCTGAGTCATGGAGATCCTGTGGTTAATGTTCAGTAGGGTTAGTACACTCGTACACTCCAGCAGATCATAGATGTATTAGTGTAGGCCAATCAAAGGCCTAGGACTGGGTCTGGGTGGTAGCTGAGCTGATTGGTCCTGACTACTGAACTGCCTTCTCAGGCACGGTGTGGAGTCAGTTCTCCTAGGCCCGTGACATAGGCACTAGTTCCTCTATATCTCTGGTTTGGAATGGGGCCATCTCTCCCCAGCTCTCCCATGGTGGGAGCAGGGTCAGCTCTCCTGCTGCAATGTCCAATGAATGGCAGAATCTGCCATCCCAGGGAAAGTGAGGGGTAGGGCGGCTCAGCACCACCCTTGGATTTCAACATGCATGATTCCTATGACTCCCTGTGGTAACATGGGCCATGGGTATCATCCCAAACCCCTGGCTATTGCAGGACCATGGATTCAGGCATGGCCCTCAGCAGCAGCTTGGTCCCTAACGTCACCATAGCCCCAGTGGCAGTACAGGTCACCTAGATGAGAATGACCAAGAGGCAGTAAGTCCCTTGGATACCAACAGGTGTCAACATAGACGCTGACTGTGGGAGGACCCCGGAACTAGACATGGCCCTCATCAACTTTTCATGGTTTGATGTCACCATGGCCCCAGGTGGCAGCAAAAGCCTTGAAGTTCGGCACCACCCTAGCTGCAGGGTGGTTCTTGGGCCCCAACCAAACTTCAGGTCTATATATACTTTTAAATGTAACTGGATATGTAGCAGAAATATAAAAGCAATTCTACATTGTAAGTATGCATTTAATTTATGCCCAAATCCTACCCTTGGACAGGAACATCGATTTTATTGCTTTCTATCAGTACCCTCATTTCTCTTTCAACTTTGGAAATACCCCTTGTCTTCTCTTAAGTTGCTACACTCCTTCAGGTATATTTGCCCTAGGAGATATTCAGCTACAGAAGCAGAATCTCATTAGCTGTAAATAGTTTCCAGGGAAATAGATCAAAAGTAGAAAGCTTACCATTCTGCTGCATAAAATGAATGTCTATGTGTTGATTTCAATAACATAACCTTTATGTTTCTGTCCCCAGCGTTCCAGTGGGCTGGCTATTCCCTTATGTGCATTCCAGGGGACTGTGTCTCTCCAGGCACCTACAGGGAAAACCCTCTCTCTATCTACTTATGAGGTCAGCGCAGAAGGGCAAAAGATAACCCCAGCCTCCAAGAAAATAGAAGTCTATCGATCGAAAAGTGTGGGCCACGAACCCAACTCAGAGGAGACTCCCTCCACGTTTGCGGACACCAGCGTGAAAATACACTTGGAGGTCCTCGAAATCTGCGACAATGATGAGGCTTTGGACACGGTGTCAATCATCAGCAACATCAGCCAGTCCTCGACCAAAGTCAGGTCTCCTTCTTTGCGCTACTCGCGGAAGGAGAACAGATTCGTCTCCTGCGATTTAGGAGAAACTGCCTCCTACTCGCTCTTCTTACCCACAAGTGATCCTGACGGTGATATCAACATCTCCATCCCAGACACCGTGGAGGCGCACAGACAGAACAGTAAGCGGCAGCATCAGGTCAGGGAAGGCTACCAGGAAGAGATCCAGCTGTTAAACAAAGCCTACAGGAAAAGGGAGGCAGAAAGCGAGATTAGTTAGGAATTGACCCGTCTTACAGTGTCAGACAACTCTGCAACCCTGGACTGCAAAACTTGCCCTAGTCCTGAGACTCATTTCCCACTTCCTTCTAATCATGGGTTTATATAAGCTTTCCTGGTTCTTATTTTTTGGGGTGACTTGCTGTAGTGCATACATACAGTGCATTTCACACACTACTTAAAAATCATACACTGTGGTAATTGAACAACTTTGTGTCTGGTTTCTCAAAACCTTCCTAAGCCAAATCCTGACCTAGTTTGCTAATATTTTGCCTATTTGTGAAAAGAACGTACTGTTCTCATGCCTGGGTTTCTGTGCACAGGCAGTTTTTGACTGAAGAGGGAAAAGTGATGTTGTGGAAATGGGAAAAAAATGCACCAAAACTCTGAGTTGTATTTGAATGCATATTTACCTAAACACGTCTAGCCAAATGAGCTTATTTCAGTTACTGCTTTGCCTTTTCAGTGGTCTAGGAAGTATGTTCTTGTATAATAAGGCAAATTAGCTTCTAACATGGAAATTTAGATGTAACCCTAGTCTATTGTTACTTCATTTATTGTTATAAAGTACAAGTAGTTTAGCAAGTGGTTCTGTTTGTCTCTCTTGAATATATCAGAGGTATTCTTTTGCCTGTTCACGGTGTCAAGGTCACTCTTAAATATTCAGTATATTGCAAGTGGCATTAGAAGTAATCTCTAATTCAAACATCTCTGGACAAAAGCTTGTTGTTAGGTTTCTCTTCCTCCAACAAATACCTGGGATATGCTTTATTTGAACTCATGTGCTGTGGAATATTAGTTAAAGATGTGTTACATTTGTTTATACTGTGGAACGTTTGTTTAATAGTGCAACGATATGTTGCATTCTTTTATGTTGCATTTGTTTAACTCTGTGAAGCTGTGTTACTTTGCAAGTCTAACACACCTGATTGGTCTAATAAAGAGCTGAAAGGTCAATAGCTGGGCAGGAGAAAAGATAGGCAGGGCTGGCAGGCAGAGTGAAAAAAATAGGAGAAATCTGGGAAGAGAGGATCAAGGAGCAAGAGAAGAAGAAAAGAGAGGAGGACTCAGGGAGCTAGCCACCCAGCTACACAGCAAGCCACAGAATAAGAAGTAAAAAAAAAAAAAACAAAAAAAACAGGTAAAGAGAAAGGTAAAAGTCCAGAGGCAAAAGGTAGATGGGATAATTTAAGAATAGTTGGCTAAAAACAAGCGAAGCTGTAGCCAGACATTCATAAGTAATAATAAGTCTCCGTGTGTGATTATTTAAGAACTGGGTGGTGGGTGGGCCGCCCAAAGACTAGAAAGAATGCAACAACAGCACTCATGATCTGTCTGCTCTGTGACTTCTGGGATGTGGCACACGGTGGAATGAGTTCAGGGTAGAACATAATCTCTCACTTATGAGAACAAAGGAAAGGGACCAAAGTGTTTCATAACCCTTTCTAGAACGTATTGCCGTGCCCTAAAGACACCCCATTAGGCCCCACCTCCATTTACCCCTCTCCTAAAAGTACTTTCCTGGGGACTATAACTCATGACATTAACCTGTAGGGTTCAAATTATAGCAAGCCATAACTATTCCACCATCCCACAACTGTTCTATTTCTTTGAATGGAGACTGGGGGGAAAATCCTGCCACATTCAATCCTGAGAGGCACAGCACACCAGGGCAGCAAGCTTCTGGCTAAAGAAGAAAATCCCTGAGTCTAGCCACAGAAGTCTGGTCCTGTGCTGAAGATTTCCAAGACTAGCTTTGCCATTCTTGAAGCATAAAAATTTACTTCAAATATTATTTCTAGATTAAGAACTTTAAGATATCCTCCCTAAAGACAATGTGTTATCTCAAACATAACCAATTCAACTTGTATTTTATTAAATGATTACAAGGAATACAGGACAAGATTTATTTTTCAGATCACCTTCTCATCATATCACTGATGTATATTTCAAAAGTTCTGATATTTTAAAATTATTATTTTCTAATCTTAATTTTAAATAATAATCATTTAAAATTATTATTTCCATAAACATACTAAATATGTTATCTAAATATTTATTTACAAAAGTTCTTGTTTCATGTGCTTATAGATTGTGCCTACCTCTATTGTAGGCATATATGTTATTTACAGATTAAATTAATTATATTTAGAAGAGTTCATTTTGGTTTCTATTTCATTATACTGAGTCAAAACTCTTTTAAAAATTACTTTACATGAACATTTATATTGTTTTGTTCTCCAGAGAGTATTTGTCATCAAAAAATTCTTCAAAAATGAGTATCTCAAAATGAATAAACAAATACATAAATAAATAAATAAGTAGTAGTTGTGATGGCTCATGCCTAAATTTCCAGCTTGAGAGAAACCAGAGAAGAGATGCAAGTTCGAGCAAGCCTGGGCCCTGCAGGGAGTTTTAGGCACCTAGACTACCCAAGTAAGACTCTGCCCTAAAACAAGTAAAATATTGCATGAAAAATAATTAAATTCAAATAAAATGATCTCAATGAATTTTTTCCATCTCTAAGTACCACTCAATACCTCATTATCTAAACTTAAGAAAAGGAAATGCCACTATTAATGTTTATCAAAACAAACCTACAATGTTATGCATAGCATATACATTTCAACTTACAGGAATTCTCATTATCAAAAAAGTTTTAAAACGTTTTCACCAAAATTGAGACCTATTGAGCACAGTGATGGTTGGACGACTCTGTCTGCTTAGCATGCACCTGGGTTGGTAGAGTCTTGGCAAGGATGCACTTGTAGTTCAAGATCATTCTCTAATTCCTGGAATTTGAGGCCAACCTTGTACACATAAGATCCTGTGTTCAACGAAAGGAGTTTTCATAAAGGAAGGAAGGAAGGAAGGAAGGAAGGAAGGAAGGAAGGAAGGAAGGAAGGAAGGAAG